ACTGAGCTACAAACAAGGAGCAGAAACTTCACCACTCCCAGAAAGGAAGTACAGAGAAAAAAATCCTCTGCTTAATTAATCAAATGGATGAGGATGAAGTGGTGCTTTTGGGGTTCTGGACTAGTCCTTATGTCATGAGAGTGAAAATTGCTTTGGCAGAGAAGGGAGTCCACTACTACTATATGGAAGAAGGAAATCTTTTCAAGAAAAAGAGCACTTTGCTTCTGAAAATGAACCCAGTGTTTAAGAAAGTTCCAGTTATCATCCACAATGATAAGCCCATTTGTGAATCCCTCATCATCCTTCAATACATTGATGATGTTTGGAATGACAGAGCTCCAATACTTTCAGAGGATCCTTATCAGCGAGCTAGAGCAAGGTTTTGGGTTGATTTTTTTGACAAGAAGGTAAGTGATCATAGTCAAAATTTTACAAATTAATGATTTCACTTGATTAATTCTTTTACCAGATGCCATTAATTGCTCCGACACATGTTTTTTTTAACTTTTATGTATGGTGGTATATTGAAACACACAAAAGTTTCAGTCTAAATGTGGAGATATTCCGGTACCATACAATAATTTGTACTCACTAAAAGCCTATGAATATATATATATATTTTTTTGGAGCGGTTTAACCCCGTTGACTCGACTCCATCTAAGCGAGAGTTTGTGTATCATTTTTTTAAAAATTTGATCCTCATGTAGTCATGCAAATTAGTCTTATCATGTTTGTGCAGATTGCAGACTGTGGGAGAAGGATGTGGGCTAGCAAGGGAGCAGACCAAGAGGCAGCAAAGAAAGAGTTCATAGAAAGCTTGAAGCTGTTAGAAGGCGAGCTTGGAGAGAAGCCCTACTTTGGAGGCGATCGCTTCGGCCTCTTGGATATTGCCCTGGTACCATTCTCTTGCAGGTTTTACACATATGAGACTCTTTGCAATTTCAGCGTAGAGAAAGAGTGCCCCAAGCTCATCGAGTGGGTGAAAAGGTGCAGTCTGAGGGAGAGTGTTTCCAAGAGCCTTCCTGACCAATATAAAGTCTATGACTTTGTGTTGGAATTCAAGAAAATGCTTGGAATTAATTAGTAACAAAAGTTAAAAAAATTGTTTGCTTTAAAGATTCAGATTTGCTTGTATGTGACTAGGAATTGTAAGTTGGATTGAAGTATTGCCCTTGTTATAAAATAAGAGAGAGTGAATAAGTATTGCCCTGGTTATGCTTTCTCTTGAAAGTCCATAAATGAACGACACTCTCTTGTATATGCGACTCCCATCTCTATGAATAGTGTATAAGAAATGAAAGTAAGGCAAAAAAAAAGAAAGCAAAAGGAATATTAGAACTCCAAACTACTAATTCACAAGTCCCAAAAACATAACTGGATCCATAATTTGCAAACAATAGGTCATTTCTCAAAGGACTTGAAAGTCACAAATATTCTTTCATTTCTTTTCAAGAGAAACGAATTACTAACAATAGAGTTACTGGATTTTAATTATTTCTTGTTTCCTGATGAAAGAGGAGCAACAAAAGCATCCATTGCCTTAACAGAAGACCCCTTTTCTTCAGCATAATCTCTTATTGACGATCTTATCTTCTCCTTAATCTCAGCAGCATTTTTCCTCATTCTCCTCCTTTCCTATTTTCATCTATCACCAAATCTATCACACCCTTCACCTCCTTGAGAGAAACCGAGAGGAAAGCAAGAGAGGAAAAGAGCTCTTCTAAGAGATAGAGTTTTTTGGGAAATATTGTGAGTGGGTGTAGAAGGGTTTCGGGTTTGGGTTATGTTGATTTAACTCATCAAGGGCTCATTTGGTACATCGGATTGTACTGACTAATTTATGTCGGATAGTATTGATTGTTTTTTCATAATATTATAAAGTGTTTGGTGGTGTTCCGGATAAATAGTCTGACTAAGTTAATATATAAGATTAGATTTTTTTTTTCTTTTGTTTTTGTCAAAATCTATAACACAAGATTACATCAACTAACTCATTATCATAATTGTAGAACTTGGGATGTTTATTGATGGGGAAAAAAAAAATCACATCTAGATATATTTAAATAAAAAAATATTTTCTAATGGTTTTTGTGTTGACATCGTCCTTTTGCCATCCTCTTGTAAACTCAAATGCAATATTGAAATGTCCAGTTGAGATTTTACCAGATACAGTCAAATCCTGGTTGCATTGCTTTGACATCTATAGCAACCCAACCCAACAAACAAGTCATATATAAATTTAAATATAAACAAACAAGCCTAAAACTGAAAAATGAAGAAAGTATAAAACTTTAAATCAAAATGATGAAAATTGATGAAAGCAAGAAACAACGGACTTGTTGAAAGGAGAGAACGTCAGAGCCGAATTTGGACTTGTTAAAATCTCTCTCGATAGGTGGAGAAATATCCGTTGATTGCAGAATTGACTTCGTGGTGTTCTCTTTATCCTAGGAACTTCTCCCTTCAATTGGTTATGCAAACCCCACCAGCCCATGCAATTGCATTTTCACGAACTTGGACGTCGTCGATGGCGGTGAAGCGAGAGTCAACCTGTTTGGGCCAAAAGCAAATACACGCCGACCCACTTCTCAAAAGCCCACGAAACAAAAGGAATAGAAGAATGGGCTTCAAATATCAGAACATGAGCAACCCCAACCCACGTCTTTTTCAGAAAATGGCAGAAAAGTAAAAAATGCCAAGTCAAATGGCGATTATAAATCAGATTGGGCCCAGTCTACAAAATCTACCATTTCTCTCAAAAGGCCCAGGGACAAATTGACAGCGCTTTTTTGAAGAGGCCCACGTGATTAATCTGAAATAAACTTTGAAAAGTCAACAATTTCAACTAAATTGATAAAGAGTTGATAAAAGCAGGCAACTAGGAAGAGACTTCTCTGAAACTTTGCCACCAGAAGATCAAAAATCCCTTTTTACATATATATTCAGAGATATTTTCTACTCCTAAGAAAGACACTATTTTCAAGAGATAAGCAGACTGTATCCAAGAGATAAGCAGGAAAACAGGGAGTTGTTCAACTGGAAGATCAAACTAACCATCACAGCTTGAGCTCTCACGAGGGGCAGTTAAAATTGGAAAAAGGAATTAGGTTTTCTTTCAAGAAAAACAGGGAAGTGATAGCCATGAGAATTGACTACTGAGAGCTTATCTACCAGAATTGATAAAACCCCTCTTTCCTTGCATTTAAAAAATGAAAGATCTTTTTAGAAAATCTGCCGCCCATTTTAAATCAGAAAACTCTACTCCAAAACATTTCTCATAAATATAGGAGGGGTGAACAAAGCAAAGGACATCCAACACACAAAAAATCATCAATCAAACAAACAACCAAAAATCAACCAAAAGCTTACTTGAGCCACAAAAGAAACCAGCTTTAGATTAGAACTTCCAAGTTCAGACTTAGATAAATAAGTCATTTAAAACGAGATTCCTCTCGTTACAAATTTGTTCGAGTTTTCACAAATATGAAAACCTCAACAAATTTTACAGTGCAGTTCCAGCCCATTAAGTCCTCAAGATCAGCCACTTCTGCCCCTTGCAGATTGAAGAGGCCGCAGTTCTGCCCATTCAAGCCTTCCAAGGCTTGAAATAGATTAAAACTCTGCCAAATTCAAATTTTGGTATCGATTTGCAGTTGAAGCTTAGCAATTGGAGTTGTTAAATAGTTCAATCCAGCACAGACATACCCAGTCCAGCCCGAATCAGAGACTTCTACCCAGGCAGAAATGAAATTCCAGCTGTCTTTTTGTTTGTCTAGTGTTGATATGTCTATCTATAGTTTTGTAAAAGGCAGTTTTGCCTAAAACAGTCCACCTTATTATCATTTGTTCTAGCCAAAACGACCAACTTTGTACTGAGATAAATTATGAAGTCCTCACCAGTCCAAGACAAGAAAAGAACTTACTTGGGAAATATTCCTCACCCAAATTCACAATTGCTTGTTTAGAAATTAGTAACTTGGGGCGCAAGTTATCTATTTTTAAGGAGTCTGCTAGAATTTCTATTGCTAGCAGTGGCATGCTCGCACACCAAAGAAAGCTGACTTGTTGACCAGTCAATGGTTTCCAAGGCAGTGGGGAACTTTACCCTTCCATCACAGGAGCAAAAACAAAACAGGTTAACAATTTGGCACGCCCGATGAGACTCGCTCAGTATACATACTCTGCCAGAATTCTTCTCAAGTTTATGAATATTGGAAGCTCTAGCCAGAACCCGCACCACGCCATGGAGATAAATCAGGTAGCTCTCAGAGAAGGACTGGAGTCAGAAGAAAGTGATGCCAGACAATCAGCCCACGGTAGTACCAGATGCAGACGTTCTAGGACCGGCTCTAGGAGGATGAATCAAATACAGGAATCTGTATTCCGACAAGAGGTTACAACATAGAGAAACCAGGATACTCTGAACAACATGACAGTCATGATGCAATGACAAGTTAACATGCAGTTTAGGAAGGACCGTGAGGCTGCCATAGCCAGAATTCCAAATCTGGATGTTGTAGTCCAGCAGTTAGACCTTCCTTATGGCCCTCCACTAGGATTAGCATGGCCATACCAGGAGAACCCTCTCATTGCACAAATAGCTAGAATACCAGGGCATGAAGACATCCAGGCTGGACAGAGGGGAGGAGCCCTTCTCGTCCAAGAATGTGAGGCCCTAATCTGGCCAGAAGGCCCTGCACTAGTTCAGATTCAGCAGAACCAGCCAGAACCTCAGCCTATTCCACAACCTTTGGCACTTCTGCCTGAGCCACCAGCAGTGTTGCCCTACAGACCCAGAAGGATGGATCCCAATCCATTCCCTCCACCTGCAAGAGGCAGAAGAGGCAGATGGGAAAAACTGGAGGAATCATCCAGATCTAGAAGAAGAGGAAGAAAATAGGGAGGAAGCTCTACCTAGGCCATATAGGGCGGAGCCCAAGATTGATCACGTCCAACAAGAACAGGGATGAAATCTGCACCCTGTCAATGCTTTGAATGACATGGGGGCATTACAAAGAATGATCAGAGAGATGATGGAGCCTGAAGCCAGAAGAGGAGAGAGGCCCACCTATAGAAAGCCATATTCGGCTTATATCGATCAGATACCTCTATCACCAGGCTTCAAGGTGCCAAACTTCACCTTGTTCAACGGAGAGGATCCATATGCTTTATCAGTTGAGCATATAGGCAGGTTCTCTGTCCAATGCATAGCCATAGAAAATAACCCCTAAGGCTTTTTGGGCATTCTTTCTCTGGACAAGCTTTCACCAGGTATACCAGTTTGCCAGCTAATTCTGTTCAAACTTAGGAGCAGATGGAAAGTGTTTTCCATGACTATTATTACAGGATTCATCTAGAAGTCACCATCAGTGATCTTGCTGCCCTCAAGCAGAGTGAAGATGAACCTGCCCAAGACTTCATAACCAGGTTCAAGAAGCTCAAAATGAAGTGCCGGATCCTTATGGAAGAAAGACACTTAATCCAAATGACTCAAATTGCTCTTAAAATCTCATTGAGAAAAAGATCTGATGGAATGCTGTTTGGAGACTTGGCAGAACTAGCTAACAAAGCATCCAAATACGAGGAGCTGCTCGGGGAAGAACAACAGAAGGGGAACTCCTCTAAAGGCACATACTACAAGTCTCCTTCTTCTTCAATACATCTGATTGAGGTAGAATCCGAAGAAGGTACAGAAAGCTCGGAGGAGAGAGAGATTGCAGTGGCAGAAATGGCAAAACTAAAACATCCCATCAGTTGCAAGGCTCTTACAAAGCCACCTAAGGATCAGAAGCCGCCACCATTTACGGGAGGGTTTGTTCCAAACAAACCGACCCAGAACAAGGTCTATTCCTTCGATCTGACCACGGTGGATGCCCTGTTTGATGAGATGCTGCTACAGAAGGCAATAAAGACACCCCACAAGTTGCCCAAGCCAGAGGAACTCAAGGGCAAGCAGTATTGCAAGTTGCACAATTCTTGGAATCATTCCATGAACAGTTGTGTCATTTTCAGGGATGTTATACAGGAATGAATAACAACAGGAAGGCTAAAACTGGTGGAGAAACCTCCATCTGTCACAACAAACCCTTTTCCCTAGCAGCAAGTCAACATGGTTAACTTAAATTGGCCAGAACAGAAGAAAAGCAGACCAACGACAGAAGCTAGCTCCAGTAGAGACAGAAGAGTTATAAGGGAAGCTAATCAAAGGCCAAGGGCAACTATCTCGGCTGCGGTAATGCTCTGCAGCAAGTGCAAATGTTAAACAGAGTTAGAAGTGGTTCTGGGTAGATAGAATCAGCTCACACCGAGTGTTTTTGACAGGATTGGAACCTCATCCCAAGACAGAGCCAGGTAGAAGGACTATCTTAGGCTTGCTTAGCGCAACAGAAGAATGTCAGAGCAGCCCAAGAAGGAAATACCAATCAAGATGCCCGGGAATGAAAAACCTTTGGCAACTATCATAGAAGGCAGATGGTATTCTGTCGGAATGAGTGGTAGACCAACTTTGGAATTAACCAGAACTTAGAAGAGGAGGGTTCAAAGGAAATACTGCACTTTCCTCAAGAACAGGGACAACACACAGGTACTTCCAGAGACCAGTTCTGCCAGAAAAGGGAAGAAACCAGAAGTACCTCCTTCGGCAGAACAAATAGCTTGCTGGCTACAAAAATCGAAAAAGCAGAATCTCCAGGCAAGCCTTCTATGAATCTTGCCTCATCCTCAGATAGTCAGCTTGAGCCTTCACAAGCACAAGGAGAATCTGAATCTATTCCAGCAAAAGGGAAAAAAAACTGGATTGATGAGTATGAAGAAGAGCAGTTGGACTATGAACCATCTGCAGATGACCAGAATGGACTCCTCGAGACAAGAGAGCAGGAGGACTGGACAGAAGAGTATGTGGAAGAATAGATGGAATACGATGGAGAACTAGATGAAGAAACTGAAGCTTTTGGTGCAGAATTGGAAAGCATGTTATAGGGTGATATGGGTATCAACATGGTCTTCATCTTGCCAGAAGAATTCAGGGCTGCAGAAGGGCAAGAAAACACCCTGGAGGGAGACGTGTTCTCCTAGGAAAGCTTTGAGTGCAGGTTGGCAGAAGTAGAAGACGCACCAGAACAGCAAACACCTGCTGCCAAGACAAATGCAACTGCCCTGAAATCGGCTGTAGAGCATCTTTGTTTCTCCAAACCAACCTAGGAGATGGCCAATCACCTCAGACCCCTGTTCATAACAGCAAACTTTGGGGGTATTCCTATTCCCAAAGTGATGGTAGATTAATCTTTTACCCCACAGATTATTGAGTAAGATGGGCAGAACAGAGAAGGATCTAATTCCAACACGCTTGACTGTCACCAAATTTGCTGGGGGCATCACCAAGACTCATGGAATCTTGGATATGGACGTCATAGTGGGAACCAAAGAACTGAATATTGAGTTTTTTGTGGTAGACACCACTTCTACCACTTATACTGCATTGCTTGGCAGAGATTGGATCCACCAAAGCCTATGTGTTCCCTCCACTCTGCATCAGCAATTAGCTCTATGGAATGAAGAGAGTTACATGGAGATAGTAGAGGCCGATCCACGACCATTTCTGCCCTCTGCCATGTATTTTGAGGCAATTTATTATCATGATGACCTTGGTCCTGTCACCTTCCTTGGAGTTAACCAGAACGGCCACCCCCATGGTGTCACAACCCAGAGACTCATTGAAGATGGTCTAGCCAATTCTCTAGAGGACTGGAATAGACCTTTTGTTCTAAACCTCCAGAACTTTGATGTTTAGTCTCAATCAACAAGAGAATGATCGAGCTGCAACAATCCGATCCATTACAAAAATATTGTTGATATATTGGGAAGAAAGAAAGCTCTTTATGTAGAATCCAGCCATCAATGTGGCAGAATTCACTCATGAAAGCACAGAAGAACAAGAAGAAGAAAGTTTACATAAGGAGGTGTTAGATTTTGCACCAGTAGCACTGGATGATTCTTTGCCAAAAGTGGAAGATCCTTTGTAGGAAATAAACTTAGGGACAGAAGAGGATCGAAGACCTACTTTCATTAGTGCACTGTTGAAAGAACCACTCAGAAGTGAAATCATTGCCCTTTTGCATGATTTTAGAGATTGTTTTGCTTGACATTGTCATGAGATGCCTGGACTGGACAAAAAACTAGTGGAGCACAAGCTACCAATCAAAGAGGGCTATCTTTCGGTCAAACAGGCCAGATGAAGGATGTCTATGGACACAAAACTAAAGGTCAAGGAAGAGATAGAAAGATTGCTCAAAGCAGGATTCATCAGACCAGCCATCTATGCCGATTAGCTAGCCAATATTGTACTGGTTCTGAAAACAAAAACAGGGGCAGTTAGAATTTGTGTGGACTATAGGAATCTGAATGAAGCATCTCCCAAAGATGAATATCCTATGCCAATTGTAGATATGCTAGTAGATGTAGCTGCTCATAACCAGATGCTATCTTTTATGGATGGCAATGCAGGTTACAATCAGATTATGGTGGCAGAAGAAGACATCCACAAGACAGCTTTCATGTGCCCAGGACATATAGGTGCTTTTGAATACACTGTAATGCCTTTTGGCTTAAGAAATGCAGGAGCTACTGATCAAAGAGCAATGAATTCTGTTTTCCATGATATGATAGGGCATTCTCTAGAAGTATATATAGATGATGTGGTGATTAAATCCCTAGAGGAGGGAAACCATGCATAGAATCTAAGAAAGGCATTCCTAAGGATGAGACAACATAAACTGAAAATGAACCCCAAGAAATGTATTTTTGGAGTTCAAGCAGGAAATTTCTTAGGATTCTTGGTCCACCAAAGAGGCATAGAGATTGACAAGAACAAAGCAAAATCCATCATAGAAGCTCTACCACCTCGGAACAAGAAAGAACTGCAGAGTCTCATAGGAAAAATTAATTTTCTAAGGAGATTCATATCCAATTCTGCAGGAAAGATCCAGCCTTTCTCCTTCTTGTTGAGATTGAAGCAGGAATAGACATTCAAGTGGGAAGAACAGCACTAACAAGCTTTTGAGGAAATCAAGCATTACCTCTCAAATCCACCAGTTCTGTCCCCGCCAAAGAGAGGTAGACCACTCAAGCTCTATGTGTCTGCATCAGAAGTGTCCATTGACAGTCTGTTAGTTCAAGATAACAAGGAAGGAAAGGAACATGCACTTTACTATCTGAGCAGAACTCTGACAGAAGTAGAGAGAAAATATTCTGCAATTGAAAGACTTTGCCTAGCCTTATACTTCACTGTTGTGAAGCTCAGACACTCCAGCAGGCTCCTTCAGTTCCCATGAATCCAGTAGTAAAACCATGGCCTTTCAGAGGATGGGCAATGGATCTCATTGACAAAATCTATCCAGCCAGCAGCCAGCAGCATTGTTTTATCATTGTGGCCACAGATTATTTCACCAAATGGGTGGAGGCCAAGGCTGTTAAATCCACAACATCTCAAGAGATCATCACTTTCATAGAAGAGCAGATTATACAAAGGTTTGGCATTCCAGAATCAATCACGACTGACAGAATCAATCCGGAGATATGCTGGATATGGCAGAAGCATTCAAATTCAAGCTACTTCAATCCACTCCTTATTATGCTCAAGCCAATGGACAGGCAGAATCAAGTAACAAGGTGATCATCAAAATTATCAGAAAAATGCTTGAGAAAAATCCAAAGCAATGGCATGAGAAGTTGTCAGAAACTCTGTGGGCATATAGAACTTCAAAAAGAGAAGCAACTGGCATGACCCCCTATGCTCTAACCTATGGCCATGATGCAATTCTGCCTATGGAGATAGCAGTCCAGTCCCTCAGAATTGCTCATCAACACAATCTGGTTGGAGAGGACTACTCTCAAGCCATGATGCTAGAACTGGAAGGATTGGATGCGAGCAAGATCGATACCCTTAACAAACTCTTAGCAAGAAAGCAGGCTGTATCAAGAGCCTACAACAAAAGAGTTAAAAACAAGAGTTTTGAAGAGGGAGAAATAGTCTGGAAAGCAGTTCTGCCCCTTAGAACACATATAGCTGGTTATGGAAAGTGGTCACCTACATGGGAAGGTTCTTTCATAATTAATCAGATCCGTGGAATGGGGGCATACAGATTACAGGATCGAGATGGAGAAGTTCATGCTGCGCCAATTAATGGCAAGTGGTTGAAGAAATTTTATCAAACTATGTGGGATTCACAGGTTATGCAAACAGATCCTGGAATAGAGAGGCAACAAATTGAAAGTGTTACCTAAATTTCTGCTCAAAGTCTGTTTTTATTTTGTAAATTATTAATCTTTACTATTTCTGCTTTCTTTTATGTTGACAAAGGAAATTGCAAGAACAAAAGTTCCACAAAAATAAATTTTTATTAAATATAGTCATTTCCCATGACTAAAGTTTTATTACATTTTAATCTAAAATATTAAAGTCCTAATTTTCCTAGAGTCTTTTGCAATCCGGCCCTCTTGATAGAAATTTCTTGCTGAAGAAGCATCCCTTAATGAAGAGAGGCCTCTGCAATCTCCAAAGCCGGCTTGGAAGCTGCAACCATGTTTTGCACAAATAAAGTAGCCTTGGTCTTGGTGCCCAAACCAGCTCCCAGCTTGTTCTGCTTATCCCTCAAGCTAGCTAGCTGCTTCTGAAGTTCCTCAATGTGTTTCTCCAATTTATCAGCAACGGTCTTTGATTCTTTATAATCAGCAACCATCATGTCCAATTCTGCTTTCTGTTTTTGATAGTCAGCCAGGTTAGCTTCATGGGTAGCTTTGCAATTCAGAAGCATTGAATGAGGGTTTAAGATCTTCATAACGATTGTGGAGATTGAGCACGTCTCTTGCCAAGCCAAGGCCGATCTCAAGAATGGGCCTAGGAGTCACATTCTGCCAATGTAGCAGATCTAGATCCTGCATCAGCTGATCTATGGCCTCCCCATTTTCATCCAAGTCCAGCTCCGTTGACTGCCATATTCTTACTTTGTCCACCGCCTCATCCACTGCTTTAGACTTGGCCTTGCTTGGAATAGAGCTGAGCTGCTCTAATCTGTCCAGTTGAGCATCCAGGTCCATGGCTTCAAACTCTGCCAGCTTTGAGTCAGCAAATGAGGCAGTAGCTGGTGAGCTAGGAATGGAGTGGATAGGCATCTGCAAAGAAATGATTTTAGTAAACTCTAGACTATGAACTAAAAAGAAACAAAGGGCTAGAGGTACATTAACACTTACAGCCACAATGGGAGGCTTGAGATGACTGGTGACCACAACCAAAGTCCCAGTAGTTCTATCCTCCTCCACCTAAAAAAAGGGGGGAAGGAACCTCAATTAGAAAGATAAAGGAAGACAAAACTGTAGAAACAGACAAAACAAAAAAAGGAAACTACCTCAGGTGCTGGAATAGCAGCAGAGTGTTCCTTTACATCATCGAAAAGAGCCAATTCTGAACTGGTAGGCTCTGCTCTTTGGCTATCATTTCAGCAGGGATCTCCTCCTACAGAAAGACAAAATAGAACTCGAGTCAAAAGGGAATGCAAAACAAAAGTCAAGATGGTGTCGAAAAAAAAGGATCTCTTGCTACAATCTCACTTCTTCTTCTCTATCTTTTGTCTTTTCTTTCTCTCCTTTTGAAACCTCCTTCTCTTGATCCACGGCCTTAAAGGCCTCTCGTAGCTCATCATCAGTTCATGTGGTCTCAGTATTAACTACTGCAGGCTCTTCTTTCTCTTCAGGCTCACTAACAGCCTTCTTTCTCAGCTTCTTCGCGTTGGAAGGGGGAGGGGAGCTTTCAGCTGCACAAAGGAAAGAAGTCAGAATTAAGTGCAAAACTGATCAAAAAATCGACAGAATTGATAAGTCACAAATTATACCCAGGGGATCAGACTGGACATCACTGTCTTAAGCCTCACTGACTTCTTTTATTTTATTTTTCTTGGCAGAAGGAGCTGCCTCAGCACTAGTTTCTGCCAGAGTCTCATAATCATCTTGTTTATCACCAAAAGGAAGCTCCAGATCCCTAGCAGCGATAACAGATGTAACTGGACAAAAGAAGAAAGGGTTAGTAGACAGCCCAACGAAAACAGGCGTAAGAGCAGAATTCGAAGGCTCACCAACTACTTCCCCAGCCTGCACGCTTTGTCTCCCAAGATTGCTTGTCATGGAGGGGTCTGAGATAAACAGATAGAATAGAATCAAGACACATTTCAGAGTGCAGAAATCCAAAAAATAAGGAGCAGAATTGACAATTTTACCTTCAATCACTTGAGCATTGATACTTTTGACCAGCTGCACTATGAATTTCTTGGCTTCTGCTTCTGCTAGGACAGTCCCAGCATCCCAGTTTTCAAACAAAGTCTTCACAACAGTACTGGCATCTAGCACACTGGCAAAACAAGCTTTCCACCAGGTATCAAACTCACAAGAACTGCAAGAATTAGGCTCCCAGGATGGATAGAGGGCGTCCATACTACTGTTGATCTTGTTCACTGAACACCTGCAGTCTTTATGCACATCCAGGTCATCTGAATCCCTCCACGAAGTAGCACGGTTGCAGCTTCTGTAAGACTTGAGAGGGATAAGGTGGGGGCAGCTAAGCTGCCTGGCACATAAGTTGGGGTGATAGACCTCTGCTCCTAAATGGTAATTAGGAGGCTTGTGCCCATCGAAAGGCATATCTCGAGGCAGCGTCACACTCAAACTTTTTTCTGAAATCAGTTCTTGCTTCTTCTTCTGGCTCCTGCTCAAAGAGTCTGTGTCCAGGCTGGAACCAAGGGTATGTTCTTCTAAGTACCACTTGCCACTGAGCAGCAGACCTCTTGGTGCAATGCCTAAAGAACATGACATACTCTTCAATTGAGCGCTTAGGCACTTCTACTGACATCAAAGGAGCTGCCATAACCTGGTCTTCAAGCAGAACAACGTCCGAAAATCTCAATTTTGGAAAATAGACCTACAGCCAGATATGGATCATCCAAAATGCGCCAGGTGCAGAGATATTTAGTGGACTCTCCAAGTCCCATGTCAGCATGATTATGCAAGGCCTCACCCAGGTGCCTGTATTCCATCAGAACTGCCGAAGAGTGGTTAGGAAAGACAAACCTATTTAACCAATACAGCAGGAACAACATGTGTTGCTGATCCTTGTCCTTCTCAGTGCTGAACTTCTTCAAGAAATTGGAGAAGGAACAATTTTGGTTAATCATGGCAGTACGGATGGTGAAGGGCTTGGCCAATCTCTCTCGATTTTTCCCTCTGTGGTAGTCACCAATAGCATCAACAGGCCTCCCATGGGGCTTGAACCCAAATATTTGAGCTAGATCCAGCAAAGTTGGAGTCATGGGGCCTAGACAGAAGTCGAAGATGTTGCTGGCAGAATTCCAGAAACACAAGGCAGCAGCTAGTAGATTCTCGTCTCTGTTTACTGAATTCTTAGACAGAAGGATCGTGTCATAAACCTCAGCCTTCTTGCAATAAGCTTCATGCCTCGGGAGAAGTCTGTCAATCCAATCAGACCAGCTCACTGCACTATTCCTCACTTCACTTGAAGGATAGGAACGACTCAGGTTCTTACTCACCCAGGTATGAGAGACAGAGCCATGGAACTTTGAAAGCATAGAGGAGCCTCAGCATCATCCTTGAGCAAGGCCGCTATTTCTCCCGGCACGGAGCCAAAATAGTGAGGACCCAAGATGAAGGTGTTCTCGAACAGATGAAGAACGTTTCATCCAGATTCTTTAGCGCATATGGGTGAAGTCTGCTACGAACCTCAATCACATGTTGATCAACCTCATCTCCGGTGGGATAGGCAGGAGAGCGTGAAGAAGAGGAGCTCTTGGCACGAGTGTTTGGAGAAGACATTTTCTTTCCCTCATTCGAAATCAAAAGAACAAAAGGGGAATTAAAATGAATGAAGTCAAAAGAACAGAGGGTTTCGAAAGGAATAGAAGCTGAGATAGAATTAGGGTTCGATAAAAAAGTAAGGGGGATTCGACAAAACTTTATAAACTGGGCAGAAAGATCGTGGGAAAGGAAGAAGGAAGGAGTTTTGATTCAGATTTAATTAGCCGTTAGAACTCATTTCCCCACGAAGCCTAAATTGAAAAGATAGACGTGCGCTAGTGCAACGGTAGGAAAAGGCGCGCATCATTGATTGGCCAATCATTAAGTCTGAAATCGTTTTAAAACGGTTCAGACTTAAGGGGGCATTGTTTGGGCCAAAAGCGAACACACGCCGACCCGGTTCTCAAAAGCCCACAAAACAAAAGGAATAGAAAACTGGGCTTCAAATATCAGAACATGAGCAACCCCAACCCACGTCTTTTTTAGAAAATGGTAGAAAAGTAAAAAATGCCAAGTCAAATGGCGATTATAAATCAGATTGGGCCCATTTTACAAAATCTACCATTTCTCTCAAAAGGCCCAGGGACAAATCGACAGCTCTTTTCTGAAGAGGCCCACGTGACTAATCTAAAATAAACTTTGAAAAGTCAACAATTTCAACTTAATTGACAAAGAGTTGATAAAAACAGGCAACTAGGAAGAGACTTCTCTGAAACTTTGCCACCAGAAGATCAAAAATCCCTTTATATATATATTCAGATATATTTTTTGCTCCTAAGAAAGACACTATTTTCAAGAGATAAGCAGGAAAAAAGGGAGTTGTTCAACTGGAAGATCAAACTAACTATCACAGCTTGAGCTCTCACGAGGGGCAGTTAAAATTGGAAAAAGGAATGAGGTTTTCTTTTAAGAAAAACAGGGAAGTGATAGTCATGAGAATTGAGTACTGAGAATCTACCAGAATTGATAAAAATGAAAGATCATTTTAGAAAATCTGCTGTCCATTTTAAATCAGAAAACTCTACTCCAAAACATTTCTCATAAATATAGGAGAGGGTGAACAAAGCAAAGGACATCCAACACACAAAAAATAATCAATCAAACAAACAACCAAAAATCAACTAAAAGCTCACTTGAGCCACAAGAGAAAACAGCTTTAGATCAGAACTTCCAAGTTCAGACTTTGAGAAATAAGTCATTCAAAACAAGATTCCTCTGGTTACAAATTTGGTTCAGCAAAAGCCAAGGCAAGCAGAGTTTGAGTTTTTACAAATATGAAAACCTCAACAAATTTTACAATGCAGTTCCAGCCCATTAAGTCCTTAATACCAGCCACTTCTGCCTCTTGCAGATTGAAGAGGCCGCAGTTCTGCCCATTCAAGCCTACCAAGGCTTGAAATAGATTAAAGCTCTGCCAAATTCAAATT